TTATCTTTTTAGTCTCTATGCCATTTATTTTCACTCTGATCTTTGTTATTTCCTTCCTTCTACCAACTTTGTGCTTTGGTCTTCATTTTATAGTTCCTTGAGGTGTGAAGTTAGATTGTTTATTTGAAATCTTTCTTTTTTCTTAATGTAGGCATTTATCTCTATGACCTTGCCTCTCAAAACTAGTTTTGCTGTATCCCATAAATGTTGGTGTATTGTATTTCAATTTTTATTTGTCTCAAAGAATTTATTTCTTTTTTGATCATTCAGTTTTTCAGTTGCATGTTGTTTAATTTTCACCTGTTTATGAGATTGTTTTATATAACTGATTTCTAGTTTTATATCATTGTGGTCAGAATAGATGCTTGATGAGATTTCAGTCTTCTTAAATATATTGAGACTTGTTTTGTGGCCTAACGTGTGGTCAGTCCTGGAGAATGTTTCATGTGCACTTGAGAAGAATGCGTATTCACAGTATAATTTTTAAATTTAAATCTTTAGCCAGTTTGAAGTTTATGCTTATGTATGGTATAAGCAGGAATCTAAGTAAACAAGGCCCGTAGACCTAAAATATTCATTGATTTCTAATGCCCTTTGATCATATTCTAAATCTCATTGATCAAATTTTATCAATACAATACTTTTAACTAGTATACTTTTGTAGTATGTTTTATAATCTGGTAGAACAAATCCCACATCATTTTTCTTTCTTTAAAATATTTTCTTGTCCAGCCAGTGTGGCTCAGTGGTTGAGCATCGACCCATGCACCAAGAGGTCACTGGTTCTATTCCCAGTCAGGACACATGCCCAGGTTGTGGGTCCAATCCTCAGTCAGGGACATGCAGGAGGCAGTCAGTCGATGTTCTCTCTCATTGATATTTCTATCTCTCTCTCTCTCTCTCTACCTTCCTCTCTCTCTAAAATCAATGAAGGGAAAAAAAATTTTAACAATAAAATAAAATATTTTCTTGGGCCCTGGCTGGGTGACACACCAAAATGTTGCAGGTTTGATTCCCAGTCAGTGCACATACCTAGGTTGTGGGTTCCATCCCCGATCAGGGCATGTACAGGAGACAACCAATCAGTACTTTTCTCTCTCTCTCTCTCTCTCTCTCACATCAATGTTTCGCTCTGTCTCCCTTCCTCCCTCCCTTCCTTCTTCTCTCTCTCCAAAAAAATAAAAAATTCTCAAGTGAAGATTAAAAAATAAAATATTTTCTTCCTTCTTCTTATATATTTACACTTAAGGATAAATTTTAGAATCAATTACCAAATTCCAAAAAGAGTCTTTAGGATTTGATTTGGAAATGTATTTATACTATACTTAGGTAAAAACAAAATCAGTTTATAAAGTCTCAAAAAATATATGACAATGCCCTGGCCAGTTTGGCTCAGCGGTTAGAGCGTCGGCCTGCGGTCCGGAGAGACCCGGGTTCGGTTCCCACTAAGGGCACGTACTTTGGTTGCAGTTTGTCCCCGGCCCTGGTTGGTCGTGAGGGTGGCAGCCACTCGATGTGTCCCTTCACATCGATGTTTCTCTCTCTCTCTCCCTTCCTTTCTCTCCCTCCCACTCTATCTGTACAAAAAAATGGAAAAATATCCTCGAGTGAGGATAAAAAAAATATATATATGAGACAAGCCCTGGCCGGTTTGGCTCAGCAGTTAGAGCGTTGGCCTGTGGTCTGGAGAGACCCGGGTTCAGTTCCCGCTAAGGGCGCGTACCTCAGTTGCAGTTTGTCCCCGGCCCTGATTGGCTTGTGTGGGTGTCCCTTTCACATTGATGTTTCTCTCCCCCCCCCCCTTCCCACTCTATCTGAACAAAATATCAAAAAGTGTCCTCGAGTGAGGATTAAAAAATATATATAATGACAAAATATATAGCAATGGTCATCTCCTGATGCTTATGTTATAGGTGACTTTTTCTTTGTGCTTTTCTTTTCTAAATGTTTTACAATGCACGTGCAGTACTTTTTAAATCCAAAAAAAAAAACCCTGAAAAATGTTATTAAACTATAATGTACCCATTAGTAACTTCTTGTTTATCTATTTAACATAACAGAAGCCAAAAAGAATAAGAAATATTTCATGGGAAATAAATATGTGAGTTGTAGAAAGTCAAGTACAGATACCTGACTCAGAATATAAACCAGAGTTGTTCAGAACATTCCCAGGATAATCTGAAGCAACACACCCTGGCATTCTCCTCGCTTACTTTGAGTGGTTGACCTCAGTTCATTGAAGAGACTTAAGAGTTGTAGCGTTTTTACATGGCAGTATTTCTGGGTTATATTCTGCGCAGCTGTATTTACAAGGCACCTGACCTTCTTGGTTTTTCCGTTCAGAGATTTATATTTATATTCATATTCATATTCATATTTATATGAACAGCCAGGCCTTGATATGCACTAAGACTTAGTGTGGTCCAAATCTAGCCCTTGCATTTCTTGGTCTTTTGGTCAACATTTAACAGAAAGAAGATTGCTGAATCTATTCCCAGCTCTTTGACATATTTTAAGAAGCATCATGTTAATTCTTGGCTCAGAGTATCTAGATTCTATCAACACTGTAGTTAGAACTTGATTCTCTTTGCTTTTTAACCTACATGCTCTTTTGGGTAATCTCACCAATTTAATAAAAACAACAGTAACAATAATTATAACATGTAACATTTATTGAGCATTTTCTATGTGTCAGGCATTATACTGCTCTTTATAGAAATGACTCTTTAAATCTTTAAAACAACCTATAAATGTTATTGCCCCATTTTACAGATGAAAAAACTGAGACTCAGAGAGGTCCAGATCATACAAACTAATAATTGGCAGAGCTGACATTGAAACCCAGGCAGCCTAACTCTCTGAAGCCTATGTTCTTAACTACACTTTAAACTCAATTTTTAATTTCCCTCCTTTCCTAAAACCAGCTCTGCCTCCTGTATTTTCAATCTTATTTGTCTAATACCACAGCTAGAGCTGTCAAAAGTATTCTCCATTCTCTATCACTTAACTCCGCCTCCTACCTTTGCAAAGTCTTACATTCGTCTGTTCTTCTCCATGTCCCCAGACCCCCATCTTCGTTTTAGCCTCCTTAACTCTCATGTGGGCTGGTAACAGTTACCTCCCTTCACGTATTCTTTTGTTGACTCAGTCTAACATGTTTTATCTTTATAGCTATCTTCTAAGAAAATGAAGCTGATCATGTCCCTGTACTGTTTAAAAACTCTTGGACTTCCCTGTATTATTGTTGTTGTTGGTTTAGCCAGATTAAATCTGAACTCCTTAGCCTTACATACACAATCCGGCCCCAGTCTGTCTCTTCAGCTTTGTTTCCTCTCATTCTTCACCCGGTCTCCTTACCTTACGCTCCAACCACATTGAAACGCCTCACTCTTCCCCAGATCTGTGCCAAGCTCTTTCATAGTTCTATGCATCTGCACTTGTTTCATCTGTTTGAAAGCCTCTCTGCCTTTGATCTCCTAGACAAACTCCTATTCAGCTCTCAAGATCCAGATCACATGTTGCCTTCCGTAACAGCTTCTCGGATTTCTCCAGCGTGGAGCAGTCGTCCTCACCTCTTCCCTGTAGCGTGTGTTCATGCCTCTGTCACGGCCCTTACCGTGCTGGGTGGTAATTACGTTTGCACGTTTGTCTCTTTTATTAACCTAAAGGGTCTTCAGGGCAAGAACCAAATTTAGGCCCTTAATAAATGTTGGTTTAATGCTTGAAGGCATGTCAAAGAGGGTGTTTAAAACACTAAGAAGTTAGAAATATACTTACTCCTAAACAAACAGAAGACTACGTCATGTCTAAAATTAATAGGCCTGAGGTAGGGTCATCTAACACACTAAATAAAAGTGGTGCATAGAAACGGGAAGCCTTTTAAATGATAAGTTTCCTAGGTCACGGACCATTGTGCAAGGTTAAGATCTTGTCTGAGATCATCCGTGTACCTGGGCATATGTGTGACATTGTGGCTCAGTGGAGGGAACATACCACCCGGACTGAGAGGACTGGGCTGGAGTCCTGGCTCTGCAAATTACCACCTTTGGGACTTGGTCTAGTCACTGACCTCTTTAGACCTCATTTTCTTGAAAAGACATATGATATTTACTTTTTTACACATTCCTGGTTGTTAATTTAGATGCAGGAAGACTTCACATGAAAAGTGTCTCTTTTGTCGGTTTTTTTTTAAGCTTTGTTGAGGTGTAATTGACAAATAAAATTGTGATATATTTAAAGTGTACAACATGATGGTTTGATATACATATACATGGTGATAGGATTTCCACAATTGAAATACAGTCATCATCTCACATAGGTCCTTTTTTTCTTTCTTTATTTCTTTCTTTTTTTTATTAATTTTATTAATTTTAGAGACAGAGGAAGGGAGAGGGAGAGAGAGAGAGAAACATCTATGAGAGAGAACATTGGTTGGCCGCCTCCTTCATGCCCGTACTGGGGATCGGGCCCACAACCTGGGCATGTGTCCTGACCGGGAATCGAACTGGTGACCTCTTGGTGCCTGGGTCGACACTCAACCACTGAGCCACACCGGCCGGACGGTCCTGTTTTTTCTTTATGTGAATACTAAAGTTATACTCTCTTAGCAAATTTCAGTTATACATACAGTACGATGTAACCAACTTTGTCACCATGTTTAACCTTAGATCCTCAGACCGTATTCATCTTATATCTGAAAGTTTGTACCCTTTGAGCAACCTCTCTCCATTTGCCCCATTCCCCAGCCCCCTGGCAACTACCATTCTACTCTCTGATTTTATGAGCTCGATTTTTTTTCTTTTTCCAGACTCCACATTTAAGTGATACCATGCAGTCTTTTTTCTTTCTCTGTCTGGCTTTTTTTATTTAGCATAATGTCCTCCAGGTTCATCCATGTTGTTGGCAAATATCGTGTCTTTATTGATAAAGAGTAATTCTTAACTCAGAGCAAATAGGGTTGTTGTGCTTTACCTGAAATCCATCTTTCCTTTCCCTGTCAGCTTCAGAACGAGTTAGAGAAAGGCGAGCGGGACAACGCAGACCTGCAGGAGTTTGCCAACGCCATCCTGCAGCAGATAGCAGACCACTGCCCCGACATCCTGGAGCAGGTGGTCAACGCGCTGGAAGAGTCATCCTGACCCCGCGTTGTGGGGAGTGGCCAGGCCAGCAGCCCAGCAGAGTGAACCAGGAGCCAAGAAAAGGGGATGACGAGGACAGGCACCCAGGAACTTTTGGGCCCCGTGCAAACTCTACAAACTATCCTACCCGATTAGTCCTTCAGGTGCGGCTCCAGCACCATCTACAGCGGCTGTCTTACCCAGCCTGTCCACGTTGGGTGTTGTCTCTACGCTTACTGTTTTGATGTCCAGGGTGGGTAGGTAAGTGGCCATGGCTCCAGGAGGAACCGCCCTCTAGTCGTCAACAGTGGAGAACTCTGGAAGCTGGTGGCTCTGCCCTCACAGAGGGACATGGAGTAGGGAGCCTCTCGCCTCTGCCCTCGACATGAGAGCTGAGTCTGGAATCTGCTCGGAGTTCAACGTACGGAGAGAGCGCTTCCCCATGGCCGAGAGAGCGGAGTGTCCTCATACCACAGGTGCTGTCTCCTACAAGGATAACAAATTCTCCAGAAGATATTATTTGGAAGAGGGGGGGCGAACAGGGACAAACAGAACACCGACTCGTCTTTGTACTGCCTTCGTCTACTGTCCATCTGCAGCGTTTGTGCAGGGGAGCTGCCCGCAGGCCTCCTGAGGGCTCAGAGCACTCTAGAGCCCAGCCCGGTCTGGGTCACTGTCCCTGCTCTTCTCAACCCTCAGCAGGAGGACGGTGCAGACAGCTCCCTCCGCGTCTCTCTCGAATGAGGCTTCGGCCCTTCGCTAGGTGTGTCAGATCATGTGTCTCCAGTGGGGAGAGGGGGCCGGGCGTGAGGCACGGTCAGCTCCAGCTGTGCTTCTGTAGGTGACCGTTCCTCGGGCTCAGGCTGCTTTCTCCTGAGCATCTCTCTCCTCAGCCCTGAGCCCAAAAGAATGCTCCTGCCTTCCCACCGCCAAGCTCCAAGCCTTGTAGCCCAGAGGTTACGACCCTTCTCCCCCTCAAGCTTAGCTCTTGATTTCCACGCCTAGAACCTTCCCGTGCATTGCCTGGGACCTCCTTCTGACACAGATGAATGTTTCTCATCCCACACACATTCCTTCCTCCATTCTCTCAGTCAAAGAATATTTATGAAACGCCTACTGTTAGGCACTCATCCTTGAAAAGAAATTGAGGGAGAGGTGTAAAGGATTATATGAGACATACTCACTTGAGTTGAAGCAGTAAAAGATACCATCTTAGTAGGAGGTATCATTTCCAGAAAAATCTTCCACAAATCAGCATTTCTCATTGCTCACTAAAATGGAATTGACGGATTGGAGGGTTGGGGGCCGAGTCACTTACTTGCCTGCAGGATCCCATGTGGTGATTCAGAACCTTTGTTTATGGTTTTACCCTGCAAGAGTGGACTGTCCTATTCAGGGGGCTGTGACTGTGGAGAGTGTTTTCTTAACACATCTCTGTCCACCTTGTGGAACTTGGCCGGCTCCATGTCACAGAGCAGAAAATTGACCCCAAAGTTACAAATCCACTTGAAGGTACTGGCATTTTGCAGGGCGTTTTCCCCAAGCATGACAGTGGCATTTGCAAAAAATCAGGCACCGAGAAATAGACCACTTAACCAACGTGTGGGCCTGTGACCACCTCTGTGGCCAGACACTCACATCTTCTGATAAGAGTTGCCGGGCTAAATGCCTTTGTCTTGCATTTTTCTCCTCTGCCCTTCCCCAGTTACTCACCCAAAGAATCCGACACTGCCTGTAAAGTCATCACGGCCGTCGGTCCAGTACCTTCCCACCAGCAAGCCTTGACTGTCTCATTAACTTATATGGTCAAATCTCCAGCTGCCCTGACTCCCTGCTGTAAAACAGTCTCTCCTGGTGAGAAGCTGTAGAGTGTTCCTTATCAAAGGTTCAAATGGACTCTGCTCATAAACTTCTTACTGAGATGCTTCCTGATAGCGAGGCCGGCCAGAGTGGAGGCGCAGGGGTTAGATATTAAGTGGTGGTCATTTGTGGTCAATTACCGCAATTCCATGTATTTATTGCACTTCTCATAAATCATGTAGATAGCCCCCAGTATTTTAGGGCTGGAGTATTAGAATCTCACTTTAAATACCATAATGCAACGAACCAAGGTGTGATAGCAGCCTTCACAGGGCTCAGCAGAACAGAGAAAGCAGAAGAGGCCCTGTCGAGAGGGCCTGGGCTGACGCTGGCCGGCTGTTGTCTGGCTGGTCTGGCAGGAGAAGGCGTCAGTCAGGTCTGTCCCGATGCGGCCTCTTCCGTCAAACTCCACGCCTCCCACTCTGGTGTGACTCTCACTGCACCTTCTTTCCACCCCTTTCATTCCCACCCCCCGGTTGCGCTCTCTCTAAAACCTGTGGGAGTCCTCAGGACAAGGGCTTCTGAGACGAAACTGTCTGGGGAGACCTCATCTGTCTGGTCTCTGTGAACCGTAGTAGGGAATCGCATTCATTCTTCCTGGTATCTCAGATGGTTCTGAGGACTGTTTGTCCTAGAAGAAAATAGGCTCTGGCTGAAGTTGAAAGGTGAACATGACCTGTATTTGTGTTGTAGGAGCAAAGTCATTACAGTTTCTAGCATTTGAATATCTATTGAGCTCAGACGGTTCATCGAGCCAGCATTTACAAAATGCACAATTCCCATCTCGTAGGGACCGTCATTTTGTGAACTTCTTATGGCATATAAGGTTTCACAAGGTCACTCTACTACCAAAGGTCTGTATGTAGCCTTGAAAAGTCACTGCAGGTTGCCTGTAATGTTCACCAGACTCATCCATTCCATTGGCAAGTCTGCACCCCTAAGGTCTGTACCCCAAACAAAGATCATCATAAAGGGGACGAGAAGAGTGGGCGGGCTGCAGCACGGAGCCATGACTGAAGAAATGCAGTGTGACTTGTCTGTTCATATACCTCTGTCCCAGGTACTCATCGAGTTCTTGATGAAGTATCTGAATTGAGACTTAAAGGACTTGGAAACCATTTGAAATAGAAAAGACTTTAAATGGGCTTTAACATATTAAGAAATACAAGTGGGAATCCTAAAATCCATCTCAATTCTAACCTTTGACCTTGTACATTACAAGCTAAAGATCTAAGTTCTTTTCTCTCTTTCTTACCCTTGGGCTTTAAAAGTACTAATAAGGCAGACTGGAGCCCGACCACCTTCCGCGGCAGTAGTGGGGTGGGACTCGGCACTTTGGTCAGTGAAGGTCTGTCTGGTTTCCCCTGAGGAGCTGCTGGCTTGCCCACCGCTCAGAGTGCCAGGAAAGGAAGAAGGCACCACAGTTTAGTCAACCGCTAAGCTGACCCCTCCCGCACTACGGTCAGGATTGGCGTTTGGATTTGCTGCTAGTGTCCCGCTGACCCCAGGGCCTCCTGCCCCCCTGTTTGACCTCATTACTCAAGCATAGGCCCACTGGCTACCCCTCGGGGTCTTTGAGGAAAGAGCAAATCAAGGACTATGTCACCATCTTGAATGTGACCCTCACGTGACACTTGCTAAGCTTCAGGGGGCCCTGTATCAGCAATATCAGTAACTTCATGTCTGCCTCCGCGGCCTCACCTCCCCCCGCAGAAGCTCCGCCTGTGGGAAGGAGGTGAGAACAGAGCAGATGCCGCCGCACGCTGCCCTCTGCCGAGGCCGCCCTCCGTCCATCACTGCCAGGCCCTGGGCTCCTCGGGACAGTGACTTGAACGTTTTAAAAGAATCTGGAGATTTTCCCCTGTGAACTAAGGAAATACTTGGGCAAGAAAAAGGCATACAAGGAAATCCTTCTGAACAAAATGGCTGTCTTGACTCTTTTTACGCAAAAACTGTTTCCAAACTTTTTAGTGTCAAAACTGTAACCAAGTGTCTCCTGATTTTTTTTCCCCAATGTGTTTAACGAGTGCTGTGACCCCTCATGTAGGTGTTTCTCCTCCTGACTCTTTTGGAGGAGAGGTGGTTTTAGGGACTGCTTTGAGGGGAACGGGTTTTCGTCCCCTCCCACCTCCTCTTCTGTTTCTCTGCTTGTCAATATTGTCTGTGTGGTTCAGAGAATTTGGGCAGTTACATTGTGTCCATTGTTGAGACTATTAAGATATTAAAACGTAGTTGTAGAACTGAAAAATTAAAGAGCTGTGTTTAAAAAATGCAAACCAATATCATGTCAAAGGAGTTCATACTATGGGGCAACCAGGCTCCTCCCCTCCTCCCAGGCTGGCTCCGTGGCAGCTGGGCTGGCCGCTTGGGAAGCACAAGGACACACTCCAGGTAGGTGACTGCCCAGCTGAGAGCAGTGGCCGAGGAGAAGGGATAGGGTCTGGGGCTGAGTCCCAGCTGTGCCAGCGGTTTCCTAGACATCCTCAGGACCCTGCGTAGTTTGTGACCCCATCACCACCACTCACATTGGTCCCAGCTCAGTGTGCCTAATACTGTGAGGCAACCTGGGCTTGACTCTGAAGCCTCACACCTGGCAGCAGCCCTGTGCAGGCCACAGAATCTCCTTCCTGCCCCCTCGGTGCTACATCATCCAGTGACCATCCCATATGGGCCCAGCACTGGCCAGCCCAGAGCCTGCAGACCAGGGAAGGAATTATTCTCAAATCTCAGTTCCTTCTGGCCTCAGTCCTAGAGTCTTTCCCTTTAAGATTTTTAGACCCCAGGTCTCCCAGGCCCAGGCTGTCTCACTTGGCGCCCCGAGATGCCACGGTCAGGAAGGGAAGTCAACCCTGCTGAAGCAGGGAATCCAGCCCTGGGCCCGAGCAGCCCCCTAGCCCAGCCTGTTTGCACACCACACAGTATTGCGTCACCTCTCATGCAGCCAGGCCACCTGCGGGCAGCACAGCGCCCACCCTGCCTGCTGCTGTGCAGGGCCTGCCCCCACCAGGGTGTCCCTGGGACTCGCACTCTCTGCTCCAGAAAAGAAGTGCTACCCTGTAGTGAGGAGCTGGGACGCCGGGCACCGGTTCCTTGTAGCTTGAGTTCCTTTTGGTGACAGCAGCCGCAGTGGTGGTGTCTGATGCAAATGCACCCGCTGCCTTCAAGTGTGTGCGTGCGTGTGCGCGTGTGTGTGCGCGTGTGTGGCCAGAGTCATGTTACTGACAGGATAATGACACTACAAAAAAAATTGTGTTATAGTCAACTTTGCCTTGATAATTATTGTAAACACTTTGTTCATTTTTTTCTTTTTTATTCACAAACTAAATCCATCCGGAAATTATAAAATTATTTAAAAACTGTGTGCTGTCTTTCTTTGAGTTTCATCCAATCTGATCATTCAAGTGAGCTGTGGCCTCAACGCTAGAAAAGCAGGGAGAGGCCAGCAGTCCCCAAGAGGTCAGCTCCGCCGCCGGGCAGCTGGAGAACGGGGCCCATCCCAGAGGCAGAGGAGTTGCCGCACACTCCGGGGGCAGGGCTGGCTGGTGATCTCAGAGACGGGGAGCCTCCGTCAGGTTCCCACTTCAACTCTGGATTGGCAGCCCCTTAATTGCCTTTTAAAGTCAGTTTCCACCTCCCTTGTCCTTCTTACACCCTGGGCCCGGAGTCGGGCTCCGCGGTTCTGGTCTCACTGCTCCGGAGTGTGGAGCAAGCACCGCCGCCGAGGGCTGTGTCGCGGCTCCCGCTCAGATGGCGGAGCGGTGAGGAGGGTCACAGCCCCAGAGGGTGTTCAGAACTGGGATTCGAGCTCATTGGGTGTGCTCCGATGTGTTACCCTGGGGCGGGTGGGCTGTGTCGGCCGACAGAAGCGTGGGTACCAGCAGTGAGAGTTAGCCCAGAGAACTGCTTCAAAAATTTCCAGCCTCGCTGTTTGTCTTGGGCCTGACGCTCAATAAGACACTGCTCCGGGGGACTTCTCTTACGAGAATTCATTTTCTGCTTGGATTCATTTCCGTGTCAACCCCAGAAAGGAACCA